GCCACGACAAGCGGCCACGGGTTCTCTCAAGTCATGGTGTGGAGTTCTAAGCTCATACATTTTGCTCAGACGAAGCCAAGACTTGTTGCCTTGAGTGAACCTTGGGCGTGGCACGGAGAAGAACTCGACGATAAGCCCAGAAGTTCATGCCACGTGTTGATGCCATGGCTTGTCTAAGTCATGGCTGAGGTGTTTCTCCAAGTGAAAATTGTTCGGGTCTTTCCACGAGAAGGAAGCCACAGGACTACACAAGTCATGGCAAGGTGGTTTGGTCATACAAGTTTTTCTTGGACAATGCCACGACATGGAGGCCTAGAGTAGTTTCAAGTCGTGGCACGGTGTAACAATGGGCAAGAAATCTGGGAAATGATGCCACGTGAAGCGGTCACAAAAGATTTAAGTCATGGCAAGGGTGTAATGAGATGTTGACCAGTCAAAGAATATCTATTTTCTAGTGGTCCAATTCCTGAACCTGACCCACGCGACCCTTGTATTCTCCAAAAACCCGAGTTTGCTTCTTTAAACTCCATTATTCAACTTTGTTTCACCCTAACTCTCTCACTTCTTGGCCAAATTGCTTGATTCAAAGTGCATTCAGCTCGTTTTCCTGTTGTTAATTTCATTTCATAACCGCATTGGACTCATACATCTCAAATCCCAAGGTATTTCATCTGTTAAAATTCATCTTTTATTCCTTAGCTTTAATAGCAATTCTTGAACTTGAAATTTGTGAAATCAATTTTAATAGGTTGCTTGATACCTAAGCGGTTAGATTGAGCATTGAACCGTGGAATCTTGGAATCTTATTTAAAAAATTGTGTTCTTTAACATTTCCCCTTTTTGAACCAATTTTGAAGAAAAAAATTGATCATTTCAGGAATTTCTTGAGTCTTGATGAATATGTGCTGGCATTTTAGATGTTTTTCATTGCTTTGAACTGGTTTAATGATTCATAATTCAAGAACTCAAGTAGCTCCATCATTTTAGAAAATCGATTTTGATAGTTGGCATTGTTCGTCTCTTTGTACTCACTTGATTCAAAGTGTTGTAGGATGACTGCAAGAACAGATTATACTGCACGTGGGAAGAAGAATCATGCTGAAGGAGAGAATGAATCAGCACCAGCAGTTTGGAGGAGTGTTGGAACAAGAGGAGGCACCAGAAAAACCAACAGGAAGAATAATAAGGAGCCAGCAGCTAAAAAGACTTCCAAGAACAATGAAAAGGCACTTGTTCTAGCCTTTAGCTTCAAGAAAAATGAGAGAACAATTGTTGTAGCTTCCAGCTTCAAGAGTAAAGGCAAGGAGAAGGTTGTTTCTGCATATGATGTGAGCACCGAGCGTGATGTGTAGGCTGCTGTGGCCATTTAATCAACCAAGAAAGCAAAGAAAGCTGAAAAGAGTGAATGTGTGGAACCTACCACTGCTAATTATCTGAGACAGTTCAGAAAAGCAAAGATGAAAAGATGGGGGTCCTTGAGGATGTAAATTTTCTTTTCAATAACATGGGTCTTGGAGCTTTCTTTGAGATGAGAGAAGTGGCATATGAAAAGCTAAATCAGGAATTTCTTGCCTCACTGAGAGTTTACATCTATGGAAAGAGAGATGTGAGGAGGATTAAAGGCAATGGTCTTTGGCATATCTCATTTTCCATCAAAGGAAAAGATTATCAAGTAACCTTTAGGGATCTTGATGAGATCTTTGGTGTCGCAAGAGTAGAAGGTGAGGAGGTTACGACCAGATTTGCTTTCAGGATCATGAGATTGATGGTTTATGGGACACCGTTGCTTTTGGAGAATACAGAGGAGGCAGATGGAAGAGCTCATGGATCAGGAGCCCAGTACTTAGATATGTACACAAATCATTGGCGCATATTTTCTTTACAAAACACAACACTAGTGTTATTAACTTCCCAGACATGGAGCTCATGGGTCTTGGTTCAAGACCACTCATCAGTACTTTCAAGAACAAAAGGAAGTTTGTAGGCTCTGACTACACTCCAGATCTTGGTGCTTTCTTGGTAATCCAGATGATGAATTAAAAAGATAATGCTTGGTGTGGAGGAGAAAAAAAGAATTTAAATGTGCACAATGGTTGGTTGGTCACCAAGATTTTGAAGGCAAGAGGTTTATAATTTGAGGACAGTGGAGTGAAAACTGGTTTAATTGATGAAGCTCACGTTTACAATATCGGTTTCTTTGGTGGGAAGCTTAGAGATAGACTTGCTTAATACTTTAAGCTTCTCTAAGATGATCTTGTGCAAGTTATCTTACTTGACCCATCTCTCACCTCTCTTCAAGAAAAGCACAACATCTCATTCATTGTGCTTAAGGATCAGCTTTACAATTCCTCAAGGGATCCACAACTTCAAGATGGAGGGTATAGGTACCACTTTGATCCATACATGTGGATACTGATGCATTCTCAGTCCGCAAATCAGACCAACACATAAACATACTTTTGAGATGGTGTAAATGGCAAGACAAGACAATTCACAAGCTTGTGAAGTCTGTTAAGAAGTTGAAAAAGAAGCTCAAGGAGAAGGACGTACCTGCTGGAGATGCAATGCCACCACCAGTTTATCAAGAAGAGCTTGGAGAGAGCTCAGCCACTTGCACAACTTTGGTGTTACTCGGCCAGGCAGCTGAAAAAGCTGCAGATCCACCAGAACCAGAAGGAGGGGCTCCACCGGCCCAAGAATGAGATGCTGATGTCTCAGATGAAGATAGCTAGCCAATGGGTGTGACTCCATCTTGTTCCACAAACAAACCCTCATACTACATGGGGTCTTCAATGAGTAACTAGGTAACATTCCATCTTTTTGTAAATAGCATTTTGCATTTTTCTCTTTGCATTTTTGTTTTTCCTCTTTGTCATTCTTCTATTACACAAGGGACAGTGTAATTTAAGTGTGGGGGAGGGGTTTAGTATTATCTAACCATGTTTTTTATGTTCTTACTTTCTATTTTGCACTTTGAGTCTCATACATTAATCTATATGCATAGAAAAATCAAAAAAAAATTGAAATTTTTTATAAAAAGAAATCATATAGTTGCATTTATATTTTAAGATTGAGTCTAGATTGCATTTCATATAGGTTTGCATCATGCATTGGGAGTTATGATGAGTTTTCCAAGTATAAGTATAACACTTAGCTAGTTTGTTCAATGCTCAAGTTCTTAGTTCTCTAATGCATTCAAGGAAATGAAAAGGATGAACCATTTTTGGATCTTGTGCATCATTGTTTGAGTCTTGATTGAAGAAAAACTATGAATTGAACTCAGTCCTAGCAAGTGGAACCTTAACTTGATTTGCAATTATCATGTGATGCATACTTAAATGAACTTGTGGATACCTTATACATATTTGAGCTAAACTCCCTTTTTACCACTCTCTTTTTAGCTCAAATAGGTGATTCCCATCTTTGGAACAGTTACCAGACATTGAATCCAACCTTCTTTCAAGCCAAATTGTTTTTGAGTGTTTGAGAAGCCACCTTGGATCAAACTTATCAAAAAGTGTTAGGTTTAGAGCGACAAGGGTAAGGCCTTATGTTTTCTAGTTCCATCATCAAGGAGCTAGTAGACATTGGCTAGGGATAATTGTGGGGGAAGAGAGTGTTGGTGGAGAGCAAGAAAAGAATGAATCCTTTGGGAGTGAGCTGAGAGAGAAAGTGAAAAGAAATGGAGAGGAGTGAGAACTAAGGGATTGCAAAAGCTTTATGTGTTTAAAAAGAAAGTGAAGCATCTAAGTGAAAAAGAAAAAAAAAAGCCAAAAAGGCTCAAGCATCAAAATTGATGAGATAAAAGGCTAGTTAAGAAATGAGAAGTGAAATTAAAGACCTAAGTGAAAAGAGAGAGCACCAGCGATTTAAAAAAGGTCTCAAGTATCAGCGTCGAATGAAAGAATTGACTTCCTAGGAGTTTTCCTTTTCAGAGTAGGATTATCGTTTTGGTATTTTTTTTTTCCTTCTTTCTAAATTTTAAGCTTTAAGTTCTTTTCCTTTTGGTTTAGGGAGTTAGTTGTAATGATCCCTATATAAGGGCTCCATTCTATTCAATGAAGGGTATCTTCCATGAATTGACCTTATTCTTGTAGAGAGGCTAGGGTTAAAGAAGAAGCTTAAGTCTACTTCTTTTGTTCTTACCTTCATCATAGCGTCAAACTATTCGGGACCGATTACGCGAGCTAAGAGCAGCTCCATTAGCGAACCCCCACTTGGGGTTCTAATGATTATTTATTAATTGTTTTCTAGCAAAAACAAAGTTAACATACTCTTATTCTTTTGCCCCTCCATTAGAGAATTTATAAGTGGGTTCTTATATATTAAAAAAAAATATTTTTTATCTTTTTATTTTGTTTTTGTGATCATAGATTAAGACCCAAATTTGTTCCAAATATTGTCGATTAAATCATTTTTCAATCGCTCATATATTTGTTTATCACGAATTTGATTCCGGATGCCGATCACATTGGTGATATTTGAAGCCATATCGGTAAAATACGTCATATCCACTTGTGAAGAGCCATATCCTTCTCCGGGTTCAAAGTCTTTTGTATTATACTGAGTGTAGCCATGTCGCTCGTTTTCTACTATCATATTGTGCAATATGATAGATGCTCTCATAATTTTCCCAATTTCTTCCTTATCCCATATAAGAGCTGGATTTTTTTAAATTGCAAATCGAGCTTGCAGCACTCCAAATGCACGTTCGACATCTTTCCGGACGGATTCTTGAGTTGTAGCAAACAAACGAGTTTTGTCATCTTGAGGAAGTGGAATGGATTGGATAAAAGTATCCCATTTAGAATATATATCATCTGTGAGGTAGTACGCTAAATGATACCGGTGACCGTTGACCCAGAATTTCACTTTTGGAGCTCGTCCTTGTAAAATGTCATCAAAAATAGGTGATCAATCGATAACGTTAATATCATTTAAGGTACCTGGAGGTCCAAAAAAGCGTGTCATATCCATAGATCTTGTGATGCTACAGCCTCTTAGACGATTGTCGGTTTTCCGGCACCACGGGTATATTGGCCTTTCCAAGCTGTAGGACAATTCCTCAATTCCCAATGCATGCAACCAATGCTTCCTATCATACCGGGAAACCCACGCATCTCTCCGATATGGAGCAACCTTTGCAGATCTTCAGGTGTGGGTCTTCGTAGGTACTCATCTCCGAACAATTGTATTATTCCGTCTGTGAAATTTTCCAAGCAAAGAATTGCAGTACTTTCACCGAGACGGAGGTACTCGTCTACCGCGTCAGCAGCACAACCATACACCATAATACATATTGCAGCCGTACATGTTTGTAGTCCAGATAGACCAAGCCTTCCATGACCATTTCTTCTCAGTTGAAAATATGGAATTTCATGAGAAAGTCGGTCAACAATACGCAGGAACAAATCCTTGTTCATTCTAAAACGGCGTCGGAAAATATGTGCCGGGTAAGTGGCATCTTCAGAGAAATAATCATTCCATAATCTGAGGTGACCTTGCTCGCGTTCTCTTTCTATGTAAGCTTGCTTCTTCTTCATTTTTTTCCCTGCAAGTCAACCAAAAACATTGTTGAACATGTCATCAAATTACTGATCAAATAACTGATCAAAAGCTTCATCAAAGGAGTTGTCAAAATCATTGTCGGTTGAAAGATGCCATAGTTGTGTTTGATAGGTGAAAAAAGAAAAGTGGTTTTGGTATATAGGAAGAAGATAGATAAATGAGAGAATTTTAGTAGATGAGAGAAGTTTGGTCGATGAACAAAAGTAAATAATTGAACACAACTCCAAGATATATACTGAAAATACGAACATTGCAATATCTGGCTTACAAAATAATCAAATAACATATGGTTTACAGTGCACTACAAATTATTCGCACTACAAGAGGATAAAACAAAACGCATGGCCCATCCTTATTGTTTGCTTCTGGTCACGGGAAAGGTAAAGCAAAATGTTTGTGGCCAAGTATTCCTTTCATCGAAAAATATCCTGCCAATAGAAATAAAACCAAATCAAATGAGTAACAATCTGTGCCGGTGATATAATCAAAGCAGTTAAAATGGTAAAACTTGAGAAACTGCATCACCAACCTTTGCTCTTTGATGCAACACACACCACTTAAACTTCAAGGTTGACAGGATTGGGAACAAATTTAAACCTTCTACATTAATAACCGGATAGATGAAGATGTAACCATCAAAGGAACGGTCCTTAATACATCTTAATATAAAACAAACAAGACAAGGAAGACAAAAACTAGCAAACACATTAAAACCAATGAAAGACAGATACCTGAACTCATTTAAATTTCTACAACATCCCAATGAGAAGTTTGTTTTTAAGGGCCGTTTCTTTATCAGAAAGCGGTAGCCTATCTAGTACCTTGTGCTTCACAATCTCCTTTTTGAGTACTAAATCCTTTTGCTTGATTTCCCACATATTACTAAACTCCACTACCTCGTTGTTTTCTTTTTTGACACCGGTTGAACTTTTCCCTTTGCTCTTTGATGCCTTCACACCATGTGGCCTAACCTGGGAGACATCATCACCGAGGCTTTCAGGTATAGAGCTTGGAGAATGAGATGTCCCCTCTTCCACTTTCCTTCTCTTTGCCTTTCCACCATCCTTCACTGCATGTGTTGAGCACCATTTCTGGTCATGGCGGAGTTCCCTCCATGCGTGATCGAGGGTGAACTTGAAGAGGTAGTCGTTGAAGAAGATTTCATGTGCTGCTTTATCACATCGTTCTCATTCTGCCCTGATGTCCTCCTTCGTAGCTGCCGCATACGAGCCTACAAATTTACAGACGTGGTCGTTTATCCTTCCCCATCGCTGCTTGCAGTGACTGACTTTACGTTTGGGGAGGTCGGCTAGTACAGGGCTTGAGTTATAGTAATTCTGGATCTGCTTCCAAAACGCACCGGTTTTTTGTTCATTAGCAACGATGGGGTCTTTGCTAGTGTTAAGCCATGCACTAATGAGGACTTGATCTTGCTTGGGAGTCCACGCTCTTCTAACCTTATGATCATCACCACCTAAACTTGGACCATCGGTACCTTGTGTACTAATCAAAGGAACCTCTGATGATCCAAGTTCTATACATGGAGAGTATGTGTCGTGAACTAGCTGGCTGGTGAGGAGGTTGACAAAGCCTTCGGTTTGACTGAATGAATTCTGAGAATCCATGGGTAGGTTAAGAAGTTTGTAGTGTTTAGGGTTTAAAGAGATGAGACAAGTTTGAAGATATGAGAGAGTTTTGAAGTGTTTCGAAGTTTGAAGATATGAGAAAAGTTTGAAGTGTTTCGAAGTTTGAAGATATGAGAGAAGTTTGAAGTGTTTTGAAGTTTGAAAAGAGGAGACATGTTTATAGTGTTTACAAGTTTGAAGAGATGAGAGAAGTTTTGATTAATGTGTTTTAATGATGAAGTGGTTTAAAAGTTTTCCTGCAATAAGTGTATTGATGTATTTTCTATTAAGTTTTAAATCTTTTACTTCAAACATTTATCACACCACAACCACAACTATCAAACATTAATCATAAGACAGATACCTAACAAAGCAATCTAGCATTCATTACTATGGATACGCACATATTAAAATCAAACTACCAATCTATTTTCCCTAAATTTGGTTCTGGTAACTATATCATTTAGCTAATAGTTAGAGGAGGGCTGAGCTTTACTCTTTTGGACATAACCAGCCGCATAAGCTCTACTAAACCACTTATCTGTATGTCCACAATTTAACCTCACAACCAAAAAAAAAAAGAAAAGTGTTACCAAACAAAGCAACAAACTCAAAGACAAAATCAAACCATTTACAAAAGCAAACCTTTCATAGAGACACATCACAGTGTGACAAACAACCGAAACCATAAATAGTACGATATAGTAGATAGTATCTGCAACTCAGTGCTACTACTTGAACATGTATGAAACAGCTGCGAAAACAACAAAAAATAGCAACATCACAACTCGTTCACCTTGGTTTCCAATGTTCTGCTTCAGCATTGAGACTTCACCTTCGAGACGCCTTAAATCTTGCTGTAATTCTTCATGTGTGGTATCTGATGCATTGATCCATGGCCTAGTTTCACTGAGTATGAGCTCCTTTTGAGCGTCTAGACGTCTCTCAAGAATACCGATTTGCTCGGTAACGTCCTCGTCCCACCACTGCCACATGTGCTCACCGATCACCTATAAATAATGAAGAGATTAACTCTGCTTCTACACATATACGTAGCAACAACAACAAAAAAAAAAACAACTAAACTAACCTCTATCATCCAGTCGGGGCAAATGTAATACTTGCGGCCCTGAGAGAATGATTCTAGTTTCATCGGCTTTCCGCAAAAGTACTTGTCAGGGATTCCATATGTGGCCTCAGCATAAACCCATCCCTTGTCCATCTCTGGAGCTTTGGATGAAGTTTCACATGCTAATCGGCAGAATCTGTCAAGAAAGATTAAACAATATCATCAAACAATATATAACACAAACAATATAATCACACATTAGAGTAAGTAGACAAACCATAACAGCAAGCATCAAACATCCACAATTCTAAATACATATGACTAAGTACACAAGCAACTAGCATCACGCAGAAGACAAACTACACAAACAATATCATCAAGCATCAAACAACCCTAATACAAACCACCTAAGAAAGTAGACGACGACTATCATCACACATAAGACTATCACGCATATGTCAAGTTCACTATCATCACGCATAAGTACATAAACTATATCATCAAGCATCAAACAACCCCAATTCGTTATTACAGACATAACACTTAACAGATAAATGATCAAAACAACACCAATTCAAACCGCAAGCAAAACCCCCCAAATTTTATCCCAAATTTAAAAAAAAACCCTAAAATTGATTTAGGATTCAATTAACAAAACACATAAACAGGTTTCGACTACCGCAGTAAACAAGTTATAATCCTAATCTGAACCCCCAAACAACCCTAATTAAAACCCCCTAATTTTTCCCCAATTTTGAAAAACCCTTAATTTTGATATCGAATTAAATTGACAAAACACAATAATTTGGTTCGAATTAGGCATGCAACAGAACAAATAACATATTATTTAACAGTTAAAAGGTACGTACTTTCGATTTTGGAAGAACCCAGATTTTTCCCCCAATTTGCAGATACCCTTATTTCGATTAACAATTAAAAACGACAAATCGATAGCATAAAAAGGATGAATTAGTGTACCTGGGCAGAGGAAGGGATTGTTGAATCTCGGTGATGGCTGCTGGAACAATCTGTTCTCCGACGAAGGGAATCGTCGAAAAAAGAGAAGAGAAACAATCAGGGAAGATGAGAGAAAATATCGGGGAAGAGAAAGTATGGGGAAAAAATTAAGGAGAAAAAAAAACTCATTTTCTCATTAAAATTACAAAAACCCTCCAGCCAATAAAAAACCTCCACGTAACTTAACATACGGGTTCTTCTGGATGCTATTTAGCATACGGGTTGTAAGAAAAAGGCCCATTTATCATTTTCTTTTAAACATTTCTCTCTAGGTTTCTGGGCCAAAAATCCTCCACCAACCCTTGATGGAGGTCCTCTAAGGAAGGGAAATTAGCTCGTATCAATTTGGTATCAGAGAAAGACGATCCAATGGGAGAAAACAAAGCCATGTCAAAACTGCTGAAACAAATTTGAGCGATGATGCAGAACTTGAAATAGAAGCTGCAACAAGATATCAGTGCAATCTGGCAGGATTTGGATCCGATTTGGGTAAAATTGGTAACGATCGAGAAAAAAAAAGTTGCCACACAGGAATAAAAGCGTGAGCATCACAAAGTTGAGGTCGCAGAAATTCGCAAGGAACAAGCAGTGTTGCTGGAAAAACTTACGGGGGATCAAAGGCCACTAGTTCTGAATCCCGAGGAGTTCTCTGCCTTTGGAAAATAAAGCAGATCTTCTGGTGACAAGGGACTAGAGAAGGAGAACAAAGACCATTGTACTCCAACGGGTGCGGATACCATGAATTTTGAGCCGGAGAAGAAGGGCGCTGGTGCTGGAATATCGGGTGCAAGCAGTGGAATGTCTGGGGAAAGACCTAAAGCAAACTCTTCCAAAGGACCACGGCCGATCAGATCGCTTGGCAGAGAGCGCGGTAAGTTTTGACAAGAACTTTCGAGAGATCAGCAGCTGTGGCAGTTTTGCGAAGGACTAACCGACATCTTGCGTAAGGAGGTCGAGTACCTCCGACCAGAAACAATCTTCAAAGCAATGGAATACGCTAAAGATAATGAGTACAAGATCAAAAGGGATAAGAGACCTCGAACATTTGGAGGACATTTAGCTCTGATGGCTCGCTCTTCGCCGTCAGTACCTAGACTAAAAATAGAGCAGCATAACACACCTAACTTCAAAGAATAGAGTCCACAGCCACCTGCACTACCTGATACTAAACAGCCTCCAAAAAAAAAAGTATTGGAAAAAACTAACCAGGGCAGAGATGGCTGAACGGCAAGGAAAAGGGCTTTGTTTCAACTGTGACGAAATATATACGCCAGACCATATCTGCCAGCGAGCTCTCTTTCACATCATGCCAGTTAATGATGACAAAGATCAGGCGGATGAATTCATTGACAAGAACGGCGTTGAAATTTCCCTTAGTGCGTCAAATGGCGAGCAGACCAACACAACTTTATAGGTTTGTGTGGAGGTGGCCGATGGTGCAGGCTGGGTATTATTGGATAAGGGGAGCACTTGATAAGTTTGAAGAAAAACTAGGGATTCCGATTACTTGATATAAGACTTGGGTGAGGCTTATAAAATTGCAGAATCAATGGCTTGGTGGGATCAACATGCTGGCTTTCACGCTCTCTCGTGTGGATCAATGGATAGAGATGGTAAGACAAGACTTGTTTCCACAAGGCTTGAATCGATATGGGATCTGTCAAGCTGGCTTTGATGCTCTCTCTTGAGGGATTAGTGAATGGTTGTGAGGTGGATCGAAGGCACCACAGAGATGATGTGAGGATCTCTGATACTGCAAACTTGTCTCTCGGTGAATCACACACGCAAGAACACAAGCAAAGACTCTCAAGCACAAGCTAAGAGAAAAACGACATTATTTTATTGATAGGTTAAAAAGTGTGTCTATACAACAGCTTCGTGTAGGACTTTATAAATAGTCCTTCAGCTTTAAAAAGACTCAAGACAATAGGTCTTGTAAAGAGAAATAAAAAAAATGGCAACACATCTCATTTGGACACAAAAATGGAAAGTTCACTTAAACTAAAAAGAAAATATCTACACTATTTCATAGGAGTTGCGCGACCGAATTATTTGTGGTGAAGAATCTGCGGACTTGGAGGCGCGAGAAGGGTTGCTGTTTCGTAAGGGATGAGTTTATCTGGACGCTGAGTCTCAGCTCGTTCACTAGGTGGTTGCTGGCTTTCAAAACTGTGGCCACGAGGGGGTTCAGAAAACTATGGGTCGCATAAAACGCGATTTCTATCGGAAGGGTTGAAAGAAGAATGTGCAGGATTTCATTGAAAAATGTCAAACATGCCAACGCAACACGTGGGAGACTCTCCAACCAGCAGAATTAATGCAACATTTGCTAGTTCCAATAAAAATTTGGGCTGACATTTCGATGGATTTCGTTGAGCCTCTTCCTAAAATGTCTGGGAAAACGATGATATTTGTCGTTGGAGACTGTTTTTCTAAATACGCACACTTCATTGCCTTGAGTCATCCCTACACTGCAGTTTCGGTGGCCCAAGCTTTCTTCTGGGACATTGTTTGGTTACATGGGATCCCTGCGACCATTGTCTCTGATCGAGATAAAGTGATTAGGAGTCTTTTTTGGCATGAACTGAATTCCGATCGTTGGGTACTGATCTGTGTTTTACGAAAGCTTACCGGCCTCAATCCGATGGACAAACAGAGGTAGTCAATCACACTTTGGAAATGTATTTGAGATGTTTGGCAGGGGAAGTTCCTCGTAAACGGCTCTCCTGGCTTTCCTGGGTCGAGTATTGTTACAACATCTCCTTCCACACTAGCCTCAAAACAACTCCTTTCCAGTTGTGTATGGAAGAGAACCTCCACGCCTCTTGGATTATACGAAGGGAAATTCTAAAGTGGATGCAGTCGATGTCGCATTGGAACTGCAAGATGAATTTATCCTCATGGTGAGAGAACAACTTCTTGAAGCTCAGCAACGCATGAAATATGCTTATGATAGTCGCCATCGAGCCGTACAATTTTGCAAATGAGGTTGGCTTTTGTTGAAGATTCAGCCATATCAGCAGTTAACAATGGCGAAGAATGTTTCTACTGAATTTTCTTCTAAGTTTTACGGTCCATTTCAAGTCTTGGTCCAAGTGGGAACAGTTTCGCATCGGCTTTGCCTACCAGACGACACTCAGATCCATGATGTCTTCCATGAATCGCTCCTTAAGGCTCATAAAGGCCCTCCTCTTGTGACAGCAACCACGCTGCCACCAATCCTACAGGGCAGAATCGTTTTAGCAAAACCACTCAGGCAAGAGTATGCGGTGGAGTCAAGCAAGTTCTTGCCAAATGAACTGAAGATGTTGCAGAGGAATCTACGTGTGAAGATGCATAGAAACTACTAGAAGCTTACCCGGAACTTGAGATTGAGGACCTGCTCCTAGTCGAGGAGGGGAGTAATGATACACACTATGGTCACAAGTATCAGTGTCGAATCAAAGAATCGACTTCCTAGGATTTTTCCTTTTCAGAGTAGGATTATTGTTTTGGTATTTTTTTTTTCTAAATTTTAAGCTTTAAGTTCTTTTCCTCTTGGTTTAGGGAATTAGTTGTAATTATCCCTATATAAGGGCTCCATTATATTCAATAAAGGATATCTTCCATCAATTGACTTTATTCTCGTAGAGAGGCTAGGGTTAAAGAGGAAGCTTAAGTCAAAGTTATTTGTTCTTACCTTCATCATAGCGTCAAACTATTTAGGACTGATTACGCGAGCTAAGGCAATGGAATTAGCTTGTATCAGATCCCCTAGCAGGAAAAGATGAGTGAGATGAGAGAAAGAGGTTCATGAGAGGGTAGACTAAGTGTGAAACTTTGGGTTATAAGCATCTTAGGTATTGTGGTAGATGAGTTCTTACCCTTATATGCTCAGGTTGCTTTTTATTTTAGCATTTTGCCAAATTTTGATCATTAAAAGAGAGATCCCTTGTGCTGAATTGAACCCACATGTGCATGAATGAGATCATTTTTATCTCATAACCTCACCCTTATCCAAGCTTGTTTGTTTGAGTATGGATTATTATGATTCACTTGAAAAACTTGAATGAATGTTAAAGGGCTGAGGAATAAGAAGGTTTTGTGTAGGTAAAGGTTTAGACCTGATGCATTCAGAGATGGAAATGGCTAACTCTTAAGAAAAAGGCCACAGAAGATGCCTGGAAGAGGCCCATTAGCTTGACTTAGTCCCCACTACGCTCCCAGGTATTGTATCAACATTCGGGGTGTTTACCCCGACGAGGTCAGTGCAATAGAGGATTAGCCTGCTCGTTGATATTGTGCCCTCAGAACGGCACCCCTTAACCAGATCACCCGTGGACATGCCACTATGCGGACAATATAACTGTCCACTGGGAACTTCGACGGAATTACGTCACGCAACTAATCCTAGCTCTCTTTGCGGATTGGTCTGCCAGTTTTAGTGTGCTTCGTGGTGGACGGCTCTCCCTTAGAGAATCAGATATCTCTAAGGGATCGGCCATGAAGTATTGTTTGGCAGACAAGACGGCACCCCCTATGGGACCTGACTGATGGCTAGGCCCTATGTCCTTCAAGTTACGAGTCCACGGCTCCAAGTCACTTTGTCCACGACAGGTGCCTCAGGAAACGCGTTCTTCGTGGCCCACGGTCCCAGGTCATTTCACTTATGTTGTCTGACTCAGGCAACGCATCTTTCACTCGGGCTTCCGGTCCCAGGTCATGCTGCCCACGACGGATGACTCAGGCATTGTTTCCTTCATCGAAAAGGCGTCGCACACCTCAGGTCAAAGGGTGGCTGAAGCAATGTACACGTTTTAGGTAGAATTGATGGGTGTGCGAGCCTAGGGTTTGTTTTTAACAAGCCCGTTGGTCTTCAAAAAGATTAAAATTTATAAAACCCTAGTGTCTGCAAGCGCACAGATAAACGTTGTAGGAATTAAGGTGTCGATCCATAGGGAGGATGTCTAATCTGCGAGAAACAACAAACTGGGAAAGTAGGCAAAGTATACTCATGGGATTCGAGGTTTTTTGTTAAGAATCCTAAACTAAACCTAATCTAATATTCACAAGAAATAATATGCAATTCAGAATGAAATCTCAAGCATATCGACTGAAACTATATACTCTAAACTCATAGGTTGGCGATTTAGACTTCTTCTGTTTT